GGTGTCCAAATCTCGCAAATCACTGTGTAATAAACGGAGCGCCGGAACTACAGTCCACATGAGCTAGTGAAAGACTAGCACCGGAAACAAGCAAACGGCCTCCTCGGCCTCCCATCAACGCGGAAATGCTGCGCGTGCTTTATAGCGGATTAGATTTCTCTGGTCCACGCGACGTAGCCGTGTTTGGAGCCGTCGCGTGTATTGCGTTCTGGGGACAATGCCGACTGGTGCCCGTTTCAGGCTCCCCTACCGCACCCGAACATCTTTCAACCTGTCGCCACATTTCACTTGTTGCAAGGGCGGATCGGGATTAAAAATTTGGATATGGGATCGAGGAGGGAAGGGTTTGAAAAAACTTTTTACAACATGGTTTCTTTGGAGTAACACATGCCATCACAGCGTATAAATCGCGGAGTGGGAGTGAGGGAGCCTGATAAAAAACCCTCAGGCTCCATTCGGCTATCGCAACTTCACGGCACTTGGCAAAGAGCTTGGCCACTTTTTTCATTCTCGTGAGTTGTTGATCCCTTTACTTCCTCTCGCCGTTGCGGCCTCAATTCTTACCCATTTGCCTCAGGACTGTTAGGCCCAATTGATTTGTGTAAGCAAGATTTAAAGATCGTAACCAACTTCCACAGTTCCACTCGTCCGAAATTCTCGGTGTGACTATGCATGTATGTATAGGTTTGGATCAGCCTGTCATCCAGCCGATGCGGCGGTCAAACAAAAGGCCGGGGTGGAGATAGAACCTGCTGGTGAGAATTATCATGAGAATAAGTAGTCTGGGATAGGCGGCAATGACCCACCGGTATGGATCTATCCTGATCGGCAACAAGAGATTGATCAGGACAGCGGACATATAAGAGTGGCAGATCTTGAGGTGCCTTCCACCTCCAAAAATGCCCCGTCAACCTGCCATGACTGAAATTCGCGTGAACAACATCATTACCTGCTTGGACGCTGTGGTACCACTCCTGAATGAGATCCATGATGCATTTGGCACACCCTTTGTGCTCGCCATTTCAAACACTACTCTCTCGATGATTACGGCAGTGCAGGTCTGGAAATCCAATTGAAGGTGCAATGGAGCTGATTCAATATCCCAGAAAGTCCAAAGAAACAAGGATGATTGTGCCCAGCTTCTTGAAAACATTCATGGGCTGCTTTATGCTATCATCAACTTGCACATGACCTCGGAAACAAAGGGATATTTGCCACCCGCGACCTTGAACGACATCGAGAGATTCACCGAGTATTTTTCCAATATTCTTCCTGTTGAAGTCATTTCTAATAAAACATGATCAGAACACTTCACAAGATCCATATGTTCATTGAAGTGCAACAGGAGGGAAACAAGATAAAACATTTTTTCCGCCAGAATGAAATGAACACTCTCCTGAAGGCCTGTAAGGATGGAGTACAGCAAGCTCTGGATGTGTTCAAGGTCAAGGTTCATGCTCCGATGCATGATACATATTTACCATATGTTAGACCAATTTCACTATATTCAACAGCATTTCTGAGATGCACAAGACCACAGAAAGCATGCAGAAAGAAGTTCTGGAATTGATTTCCACTTTATCAGATGGGACAACCTCTGACAGGTCCTCCTCTGTGTGTGAATTACTGGCCACCTGAGTTCCACTTACCAACAAGAATCAGATATATCAATATCCAAATGGGCCACCAAATAGGTAAAGACCACCTTCATTACCAGGATTATGCTTACAACTGTCAAGCTCCAATTCATTTTCCATGTTACCCTCCATGCCGAAGATATTTTACGGCCGGGAAGCCGAACTCCAGGACATTGTGAAAACTTTCAGTGAAGAAGCACCCCGGATTGCAATTCTTGGTGCCGGTGGAATGGGAAAAACAAGCCTCGCACGGGCAGCTTTGCATCACCCAGATGTTGCCTCAAAATATGAACATCAATTCTTTGTAGCCTGTGACTCAGCCGAGACTAGTATTGAAGTAGCTGCCATCCTTGGGACTCATATAGGAATGAAGCCCGGGAAAGATCTTACAAAATCTGTGATTCAGTACTTCTCTAGGACTTCTTCCCTCTTGATCCTAGATAATCTGGAAACATCCTGGGAGCCAATGGAATCACGGGCCGGTGTGGAAGAGTTCTTGTCTTTACTTGCAGACATCAAACATTTGGGATTGATTGTACGCATAGATTCTGGGCTTCCACAGTGAACTTGACTAATCAAGGGATAGATCACAATGCGAGGGGCAGAACACCCAGCCAAAGTCCGCTGGACCAGGCCATTTCTTATGCCATTGGAGCCCTTGACAAATAATGCTGCCTGGCAGACTTTTGTTGACATTGCTGAAGATTCTTATGACAGAGAGGACATCAATCAGCTCCTCCAACTCACAGATAACATGCCATTGGCAGTAGATCTCATTGCTCATCTGGCAAGTTATGAAGGCTGCTCCAATGTATTGAGCCGTTGGAAGACCGAGAAGACCTCCCTTCTGTCTGAGGGCATAGACAAAAGATCCAGCTTAGATGCATCTATTGCATTGTCTCTCTCAAGCTCACGGATGAACTCTGCCCCAGGGGCCAAAGAGTTGTTGAGCCTCCTCTCAATTCTTCCAGATGGGCTTTCAGATATTGAGCTTATCCAAAGTAAGCTCCCTATCCAGGACATTCTGGAGTGCAAAGCCACATTACTGCGGACTACACTTGTGTACTATGATGATAAGAAGCGGCTGAGGGCCTTGGTACCTATCCGGGAACATGTCCTTCAATTCCACCCACCTTCAACACAGCTGATTGAACCTATGTGCAAATATTTCCAGTTGCTTTTGGACCTGTATCAGAGATATCGTGGTCAGATGCATGTGGCAGGAAAGATGGATCAAATAACCTCCAACTGGGGGAATCTGCACCAAATACTTCGGCGAGAATTACACCCAGATAGCCCTGGTCTCTCAGATGCTATACAGTGTACAATATCACTCAACTCGTTTAACCGAGTAACTGGCCATGGTTGGCTTGATTTGATGGATGCTATTCCAGCCCTTCTTCATCAACTATGTGACACCAGATTGGAGGTGCAATTCATCATAGAGACTCTCAATTCAGGGAGATATCATGTTACACCCAATCCAGAACTATTGGTAACCCAGGTCGTCTCACGGTTCCACAATTTCAATGATCTTGTCCTTGAATGTAAGTTTCTAGCCACAGCTCTGTTAATACTTCTTCTGATATCAAATGATGGTTACAGCAAAGTTTTACAATGCAGCTGGATATTATTATTGTTTCCTAAAGAATGATTCATCCACAGGCCTAGAATTATTTAGACAGGGACTTAAAATAGCAAGGGCCTCTGGAAACACCAAACAGCAGTCCCAAATATTAACCAATATTGCTGAGTTAAAAGAGATCAGAGGAGACCATCTTGCAGCCTGGGCAGGGGCCCACGAGGCACAGAGGCTTTCAAAATTATCTGCACATTACCACGAGGAAGCAAAAGCTCTGTGGATTAAAGCTGTGTGTTGCACATCCCTGGGACAGTATAATGAGAGCATCACTCTGCTTCAAAGAGCAAAAGATCTACTGAGGCACAGTGGTTTGAGGGGAGGCAGCATGCATATGAATATCAGCTTTTCCGAGGCAGAGGTCCACCTGCATAAATCTGAATATGATGAGGCCCGAAAAATCTACATTCAAAACACAATAGGAGAACAACATCCATACCTGTATGCTGGTTCCTTGATCAACATTGCGGAGATCGAGGTAATCATTGGTGCACACACACATACTGTGCAGATGAACTTGAGCAAGGCAAAAGCAATCTTAAGCAATATTGGACCCCTTCCACTTAATCATGATAATATTAATGCAGACCTTCATTTGAGAGATGGAAATACAGTACTTGCGAAAATCCTATTCCAAAAATGCTTCAAGTCTTGTTGGGAAGGAATGGAAGCTCAACCTATGTCATACTGTTTGGAGAGACTGGCTGATATTCATCGGTGGAGAGTCTCTGATTTCCACTGGTCATCTCAACAGACAGTGGTATACCTAGCACATGCAAAGAAGGCCCAGGAAAAGCTGGCACTCCACAAGGTGCTCCAGTTCCTAGGGGATGTATTCCTCTTCAATGGAGATCAACAGACAGCACACAGCCTCTTGGTTGTGGCACTGGAAGGTTTCACATATATGGATGTCCATTACAACCGGGCTAAGTGTATGCTGCGGCTCGGAGATCTGGCCGAGCAGAGAGGGCAGCTGGTAGAGGCAGTGGAAATGTGGACAAATGCTCGCCCACTCTTTGAGCGGTCATTGCAGAAGAAGCATGTAGCTCTGATTGATGCCAGACTCAGTGCTGCAGATAATGAAGATCATGGGAAAGCCCTTTCTCAGCTGATCAACCTTGATATGCCTAACATACTCTCAAATGTCAGTGATATGGATCAACTCGGTGGTTGAGACTGGAGGGGTGTAGGAGGAAATTCTGGGTGACATGCCCAAAAAAAATGTAGCCCTAAGGAGAGCTGCATGGTATGTACTTGCTCACTGTAGTCTACTTTGGTGTGTTCTGTCTGTCCCTTTGTCCTTGTATTAGGTTTCCCGTACTTTGAATCAGTATTAGGCTGTGACCTGTATTATCATAGCATCCCTGCAGAAAACAAGCCCACAAAGGTAAGCCTGGCAGGTGGGTAATAGGTATATTCCAGTGCAGTTTGGTCGGGTACTGTAGGAACTAGACCCGTTTTCCTTCTCAGTACCTAGATTCAAACTTTTGAGCTGGATGGTGGATATAAGCTCAGATCACTTATCAAGTTGGTCTTTTACACCGGTCTCATAGACTCATACAAGGACCACTCTTGCTGCTTTATAAATTTCCTTTTCTTGGTCTCGTTTCCTTCATTTTGTGGCCCTCGGATGGATCTAAATTCTACAGTGGATTTGCAAGTGCGGGATCAAGGGGTTAGAAGAGCACAGGGAGAGTGGTTGATTCAGTTCGGGAGAAGGGAACAGCCCCATGGTGGAGTGGTTAACACACCTGATTTACTTGCCACCAATTATCAGTCCAGCAGGAGGCCTCGTTCGATCCGGGGTCGGAATTGAGACATTCGTTGGCCATCATGATCCTGGACTCGGAGGTAATTTCTTTCACTGGAATTGTGCTCGTTTTATTCCATATCTTGAAACAGATTGCATTGGATGCCGACATCCTGGCTGTTTCAGTAAGGTTAGGCAGCTACAAGTCTCAGATCATATAAATGGGTGGGGAAACAGAAGCCGAGTGATGTCTAGTCAACGTGTAAAGTGCAGAACAACGAGGACCCGGTGGTGGAATGTACCGCTGTGTTAGCTGAACCTGAACAAGATTGCAGCGAGTCCTGGTCGGGTTATGGGGTTTTCATGAAGGAAATTTTCGTCGCCATGGTCCATTGTCCGTATTTCTTCTTTGGCTTCGTATCCATCCACAGTGGACTCGGAGTAAGTGCAAAATCGAGCAGGCGGTATTATTTCTCACATAATTGGAGCACCAGAGCCTGAGGGAGGGATGTTGGCTGGTGCAGATAAAAGGACCCGATGGTGGGGTGTACACCTGCTTTGATTAAACACTGAATATCATTCCGCAGGAGACCCCCGTTCGATTTGGGGTCGGGTTATTCACATAACACTATGTTATTTTTCTTTTTCCAATTGCGCGGGTAGCCTCGAATGTATTTAGTAGACGCTAGTACATTCCAAGTACATCGGGTAGTGCGAGATCGAAACAAGGTCGACATTACCAGGACAGTCTCGGAGCCAGATTGAACCGCGGTCGGGTGGGGACCCTGCAGCGGTTGACACACCTGCTTGTGACTCAGATAGCTAGAGATTTGACGGTTCAGCGGGAGGCCACGTTTAATTCGGGTCGAGATGACATGTTCAAGTTTCTGTATTTCTTACCCTACGGTGAATGAAAATAAACACCTCTTAGGCTCGCTGGCATATGTTTAGAAGAAACAGCTCGGATGCGCACCCGACCCCGCCGCTCCCAGATTTGAACCTCTGTGGTGTTAGTATTATAACCCCCTCCTGCAACGCGTAAGGGGCAGAGCAAGGAGGAAGAGCAAGGACCCGGTGATGGTGTGCCATGCGCTAATTGAACCGTATTGCAGCAGGAAGCCCCCATTCGATTCGGGGTCACGTTATTCACACAGCATCATGTTTTTGCCAGTTGCGCGGGTGCTCTAGATCTTTTTGTTCTCATTTTCTCCGTGAATGCATCTAGACGCTAGAGTGGCACGCTCCCAAGCGTGGGTAGTGCGATTCGCAAAATTATCCTTAAGGACAAACTCGGAACCTAATATTTATTCGGTGGGCGCTGGACTTGACGAGTTCAGTTATCCTGGATGGAATGCTTGAGCAGGAACGACCCGATAGTGGAGTGTTTACCACACCTGATTTAAATACACTGTGTAGCTGGAAGCGTAGTTCAGCAGGAGACCCCTGTCCGATTCGGGGTCGGGTCATAGATCCAAAAATTGGTGTTTTTTGCTTTCTTCTTCGGAAAGTTTTCTTGAGTGTCGGCGAACAGGTGCATGAATATGGAGGATGTGTGTAGCGAAACGCGAGTTCAAATTCACGACGACCGGACACTTAATATTTATTTATTCGGTGGGTGAGTTACATAGGTCAAGTTGGATGGAATGGTCGAGTGGGTACGACCCGATGGTGGAGTGGTTACCACACCTGCTTTAATTTCATGAGAAAATAGAAGCTCTTTCAGCAGGAGGCCCCCGTTCGATTCAGGGTCGGGTCATACGCATAAAATCATGTATTTTTTGGTTTCTTCGTGAAGTTGAATCTCTTACTAAGTACGAATTTCGGCGAACAGGTGCATGAACATGAAAGAGAAGTGAGGCGGAATCGAGGTGGATAAGTTCAGGGATTCCTCGGAGTAGCAGAGCTCAAGTTCAACATCAGCTTCAATTCCACTAACAACGGGATGACTTGTATTTATTTATTCGGCGGGTGCTTGACTTGACGGGGGTTAGGTTATACTAGATAGAATGGTTGAGTAGCCTTAAGTGAATGACCCGATGGTGGAGTGGTTACCACACCTGCTTTAAGTGCACAATGGAACATGTTTCAGTAGGAGAGCCCCGTTCGATTCGGGGTCGGGTCATAGCCGAGGCCGATGGCATTTTTTGGGGTCTTTTTGAAGTTCGCTTACGATGAGTGTAGGCGGTAAACAGGTGCGTGGACATGAAAGAGAAGTGAGGCGGAATCGAGGTCGACAAGTTCAGGGATTCCTCGGAATAGCAGAGCTCGAGTTCAACATCAGCTTCAACTCCACCACGACCGGACAGTTCAAGTTGCATTAATATCTATTTATTTGCGGGTGTTCGACTTGACAGGACTTAGTTAAGCGGGATGGAATGAGTGAGCAAGCAGACCTGATGGTGGAGTGATTACCACGCCTGATTTTAATTCGCCTTCTGTATTTGTTCTCTGCAGCAGGAGGCCCCTGTTTGATTCGGGGTCGGGTCATAGGCGAAAATGATGTCATTTTTTTCTTCATGAAGTTTTCTGAAGACGAATTTCAGCGGTGGTTTACGATTCCTAGCTCAATTGCCACTCGCAAACTGGATTGGTATTGGTACTTACACTTGACAGTATTCGACTTGACAGGTCTCGGGAAATTCCGATTGGGAAATTCCGCCTGGGAGTTGGTTATCTGAGATGGAATGGTTAAGAAAGGATGACCCGATGGTGGAATGGTTACCACACCTGCTTTTGATTCGTTTTTTCCATTTCGCTTCTGCAGCAGGAGACCCCCGCTCGATTCGGGGTCGGGTCACAGGCGGAAAATATGTCTTTTTCTTCTTCATGAAGTTTTCTGAAGACGAATTTCGGCGGTGTTTTACAATTCCTAGCTCAATTGGCCCCTCGCAAACTGGATTGGTATTGGTACTTACACTTGACAGTGTTCGATTTGACAGGTCTCGGGAAATTCCGATGGGGAAATTCTGCCTGGGCGTTGGTTATGTTGAGCCTGGGAGTTTGTTATGTGAGATGGAATGATTGAGAAATGGACCTGGTGGTGGAATGGTTACCGCACCTGCTTTGATTGTGCACGTTCGATGCTTCAGCAGGGGACCCCCGTTCGATTCGGGGTCGGGTCATATGCAGTGAAGATGTCATCTTTTTCTTCGTGCACTTTTCTTGAGACGAGTTTCGGCGCTGTTTTAGAATTCCTAGCTCAATTGGCCACTCACAAACTGGACTGGTATTGGTACTTACACTTGACAGTATTCGACTTGACAGGTCTCGGGAAATTCCGATGGGGAAATTCTGGCTGGGCGTTCGTTATGTGAGATGGAATGGTTAACAAAGGACGACCCGATGGTGGAATGGTTACCATGCCTGCTCTTGATTGCTTTTTTCCATTTCGCCTCTGCAGCAGGAGACCCCCGTTCGATTCGGGGTCGGGTCATAGTCGGAAAGGATTTCTGTTTTTTTTCTTCATGAAGTTTTCTGAAGACGGGTTTCGGCGGTGTTTTACGATTCCTAGCTCGATTGCCACTCGCAAATTGGATTGGTATTGGTACTTACACTTGACAGTGTTCGACTTGACAGGTCTCGGGAGATTCCGATGGGGAAGATTCCGCCTGGGAGTTGGTTATATAAGATGGAATGGTTAAGAAAGGATGATCTGATGGTGGAGTGGTTACCGCACCTGCTCTCATTGTGCACGTTCGATTCTTCAGCAGGAGGTCCCCGTTCGATTCGGGGTTGGGTCATAGTCGGAAAAGATGTCGTTGTTTTCTTCATGAATTTTTATTGGGACGAGTTTCGGCGGTGTTTTACGATTCCTAGCTCGATTGCCACCCACAAGCTGGACTGGTATTGGTACTTACACTTGACAGTGTTCGACTTGACTGGTCTCGGGAAATTCCGCCCGGGAGTTGGTTATGTTAAGCCTGGGAGTTTGGTATGTGAGATGGAATGGGTGAAAGTGACCTGGTGGTGGAGTGGTTACCACACTTGCTTTAGGTAGCCAGGTGTTTCCGCAATTCTGCAGGAGGCCCCCGTTCGATTCGGGGTCGGGTCATGCGCAATCCGCGGAGTTTTTTTTTTTGGGGGGGGGTCTTGACGTTTTATTACCTTGATCAGCAAGCGGTACACTCTCGGGTTCGATCTTTCATCATGGCATTCCGAGCTCAAACTACAAAATAAGTATTACGGGACGGGATCAAGTCGATAAGCGATATCAGATAAGGCGATCGAAAGCGGTGTTGTTTGGGCGTGTGTACTCGGCGCGTCGTCGGCGTCGTTTCTTGCGCGCGTCTACCGTCTACCGCCTCTGCCTGCCGAGTGACTCCGCCGTCCAAGCCTAAGTGCGACTGAGGTGCGTGCTTGCGCGGAGTGGAGGGACGCGAGGGCTGACTTGGGTCCCAGTCGCGCACGCAGATCCGGTATCAGAGAAGAGCGCACTTGAAGAGAAGAGATGGGGAAGAAGAAGCAACGCAAGGACGGGGGCGGGGCGAAGGGCGAGTCGGAGGCGGCGCTAACGGCGGCGGCGCTGGCGGCGACGAACGAGCTCATCGCGACGGCAAAGGAGCTGTATATGTCGCTCGGCGGGGAGTCGGGGTCGGAGTCGGGCGGGGACGCGGAGCGGAGGGACGGGGACGGGGATGGGGGCGGTGATGGGGACGGGGACGGGGACGGGGTGGAGGCGCTGCTGGGGGCGGACGCGGCGTACTGGCGGGCGCTGCCGCGGAGCGTGCGGGAGTTTGTGGGGGGCGTGTACAAGATGAAGGGTGTGCCGGAGGGGGGGCTGACGGACGGGGAGTTTGCGCGGAGCGTGCGGGAGGCGGCGGCGGCGCTGGTGCCGGGGACCGGTGCGTCGGGAGGCGAGTGGTCGATTAAGCTGACCTCTCTTCAGCAGGCATTCAAGCTCCGGTTCAAGCTCCGACGGCGGCGGCACGGGCCTCGGCAGGAATTCAATCTCCGACTGATTACGAATCTTTTGCTGTCGCTCCCGTCGAACCCTTAGCGCACGCCCGGATGGCGCCCAGCAGCACAACGCCGTCGAGTGTCTCCATCGGCAAAAAGCCCATGGCCTACGCCCAGCAGCCCGCCGCCCCTGCGCCCCCCCGCAGCGCCCGCGCCGCCGCAAAGGCACCCGTCACAAACACAAATCCCAATACACCAAACCCCAATCCCCCCGCCGCCGCCTACCCCGCCGCACACGAAAAGCCAAAGCCCCCCGCCGCGAACAAGATCTGGAGCACGAGCAGCAGCGAGGAGCGCGAGCGCATCCGCGACTTTTGGCTTGCGCTCGCAGAGGACGAGCGCCGCGACCTCGTCAAGGTCGAGAAGGACACCGTCCTCCGCAAGATGAAGGAGCAGCAGAAGCACTCGTGCTCGTGCGCCGTGTGTGGCCGGAAGCGGTGCGTCTCCCCCTCCGTCCTTTCGGTGGGAATCTTATCGATAGCATCGCAGGAACGCAATCGAGGAGGAGCTCCAGGTGCTCTACGACGCGTACTACGAGGACCTCGAGCAGTACGCGCTCTACCAGCAGCAGTACCTCTCCTCGAACCGCACCCTTCCGCCCCCGCCCGGCCCCGGCCCGTTCCCCGGCAGCGTCGAGGTCGACCGCTACGGCGCCGTCGTCGCCGGCGCGGTCGGCTACCCCCCGCAGACGCACCCGCCCCGCGCGCGCCCGCGCCGCCGCGGCAAGAAGCAGCAGCAGCAGCAGCTCAAGCTCGCGCAGGAGCAGCAGCAGCAGCAGGCGGAGGCGGAGGAGGACGTCTACGAGGAAGAAGAGGAGCCGAGCGAGGGGGAGGAGGACGAGGAGGGCGGCGAGGAGCCGCCGCCGCCCGTTGCCGTCAACGGCGCTGCGGTCCGCGGGGGACGGGCCGCGCGCGGGGGCGGGAGAGGGGGCGGGCGGGGCGCCGTCGATATGAAGGGCAAGATCGCCGCGGGCGTCGGCGCGGGCGTCGGGGGTGAGTGGTTTTTTTTCCCCTTTGTCTTTCTTTTTTCTGGAGGACGGACGTCTCGTCTTCGGCACCCTCTCTACTCCACCCGTCCTGCCCATTCGCCGTCCCTCATGCTGCCATCACTCCGCCATCAATCCCGTCATTTGCCTCCACAATTTTCCGCGCGGACGACGCCACCCCATCTACCCTGCCACACCCCCATCTTTTCTGTTATTCTGCTCGTCTTTTTCCATTCTTTACATCCCTTCATTTTCTCCGTTTCCTTATTCTGTCGACTTTTCATTCCGGCACTCCCCCCGTCCTTCCTGCGTGCTTCCACTCTATGCCTCGTCTTCCCGCGAAGCCACCGCCCCCCTCCGCCCCTGTCCCCGTGTCCGAGTCGGGTGCCACGTACTGCTCGTGTGCCCGCTTCCCTTCCTCCATCTACCCACCCATCGTCCCCCCCTCGATCCCTGCCTTCGCCTCCCCACCTTCACGCCTTACACGCTTACTTCTTCCGCGCTCCGCCATCCACCTTTCTTTGTCTCGATACATACGTAATTCACAATATATCCCCGCGCCCACTCCGACCCTTCCCGTTCCCTTTCATATCCTGTCCACCCCCCTTCGCTTTCCTTACCCCACCCTTCCCCCCCATCCCCCCCTCCCCCCCCTCACCCCGAAGCCCGAGATGCTGACGTGTATTTGTATCCGAAGGCCCGACGAGCATCCTGACGGTCGCGGACGACCTGCTCAAGAACGACGGGCAGAAGTTCCTCGAGATGATGGAGCAGCTCGTGCGTCCTTTTCTTTTCCTTTCTTCGTCTCGGTTTTTCCCTCTCCGTTCTTTTTTTCGCCTTCTTCCTGGTGCTTTTTAGCACGGCGGGGATCCCTGGCTCGAAGTCGCGGTCGGCTCCGGCGTCTTTCGCGTGCGAGATGGCGTTCCCCACATGCCGCGGCCCTGGCGGAACGCAGCGTCGCCCTGCGGCGCGCTCGTTCGCTCTTCCCGCGAGTCCAGACTCTCCCCCGTCCCGCACCCCGGCCGTTGCCGTTGCGTTGGCCCCGAAGAAAAGGAAACCGCTCTTTCGGTTTCGGTCGCGGGGCTTCTCGCGCATATGCACATCCCTGCCTATCCGGAGCGCTGTGCACCCGTCCCGCCGCGCGGGAGGAGTGGTCGCGTGCCGTCCGCGGTCCGTTTTGGGTCGCGTTGGCGTCTACTGCCGCCGCGTTCCTGGTCTTTTTTTGGGGGCGAGTCGCTGCTGGCGGTTATCTTTGTCGCCGGGCTGTTGGCGTCTTTTTTTGGCGCGCTGTCGGCCGCTTTTGGCGCTGTCGGCATCTGGACGCGGGACGCGGACGCGGGGTTATGTTCGGACGTCTGTGTCGGCATGCGGATTCGGAATGTTCGGCATTTGGAAGAGTGTTGGTCGGTGTTCGGCGATTGCTATCTTGGGGATGGGGATGGGTGGGTGCCTGGGGGCTGTGTCTGTCCTGCGTGCTCCGTATGGGGGATAGCGAGATGGGGGTGGGGCGGGTCGGCGGGTCGACGAGGCGCGGGCGGGTTGGTGTCGTCTTTGTTCTGTTGTCGGGCGGCGTCTGCGTCTGCGTTCCTGCGAGTCGGAGCGGGGTGGGGTGTTCGTTTCGTCTCTTTCTCTTTCTCGTTCTCGTTCTCGTTCTATCTCCTGGATCTACGAACCAAAACCGGAACAATGACTGACCGACTTTCGTTTTACAGGCGGAGCGCCGGATGCAGCGCGAGGAGGAGGCGGCGGGGGGCGTCAGTGGGGATGAGGTGCGTTTTTCTGTTCTGACTTGTATTTTTTTTCGTCCTCTACGCGGGAAACCGCTCGTTCCATTGCCTTTACACGCCGGACGTACATACCCCCGTCCACCCACTGCGTTCCTAATGACCTGCACCCACACCCCCTCCTGCTATCCTTCCATCTGTTCCCACCCACTATCCCCGCCACAAACAACCACTGACGTCCTTCCCGCAGGACGACTCGGCCTCGGACGGGGACCTCGCGTCGGACGACGACGGCTCCGCCTCGGACGGCGACTCTGCGGACGAGTCGGACGGGGACGAGGGCGAGTCGGACGGGGAGGGGGACGAGGACGGGGAGGGGGAGGACGGCGCGGAGGGGGAGGGGGACGGGGACGGGGAGGAGGGGGAGAGCGAGGAGGGGGGGGAGGAGGTGTGTGTTTTTCTTGCTTTTCTTTCTTTCTTCTTCCCGCTATCCGGCGTTTTCCACTATCCTTCGTTTCCTCCATCCGCCCCTTTCCTTTATCCTCCTTTTTTTTATCATGCAAAGGATGGACGCTGACGAGCCGCGCAGGTGATGACGGAGGAGCAAAAAATGGAGGAGGGCAAGCGGATGTTCAGCATCTTTGCGGCGCGGATGTTTGAGCAGCGCGTGCTGCAGGCGTATCGGGAGCGGGTGGCGCAGGAGAGACAGCTGCAGCTTCTGAGGGAGGTGCGTTTGCGTTTTTTTGTCATTCTCTCTTGCTGCGTTGTTCCGTCGAGCTCTGCTGGGCTGGAGACGGGCGTTTCTGCTGGCAGGATGGGGGGATACGGACCGGACTTGGACTTGTGGAACGGAGCTGACGTTGCTTGCAGCTGGAGGACGAGGATGAGCGGGAGCGGGAGAAGGAGGCCAAGAAGCAGACGCAGAACCAGAAGAAGAAGGATAAGAAGCGGTCAGTGTCCCTCATTCGTCCCCAGACCCTTGCTGACGCGCTCGCAGACAACAAAAGCAGGCCAAGGAGGAGAAGGAGGCGCAGAAGGCGGCGGAGAAGGCTGCGGAGGAGGCGGCGGTCAAGGCGAAGCAGGCGGCGCAGGAGGAGGAGCAGCGCAAGCGGCGCGAGGAGGAGCGCGTGCGGCGCGAGACGGCGCGCAAGGCGCTGGAGGAGGAGAAGACGCGCAAGGAGGAGGAGCGGAAGCGCCGGCTGGCGGAGGAGAAGGAGAAGGAGGCGGAGCGGGAGAAGAAGCGGCGGGAGAAGGAGGAGAAGGGCAAGGCGGAGCGGCGGGAGCGCGAGGAGCGCGAGCGGAAGGGGCGGGAGGAGCGCGAGGCACGCGCGGTGAAGGAGCGGGCGGCGCAGCTTGCGGCGGCGCGGGAGCGCGAGGAGAAGGAGC